TAAATTTAACTATTTTTTTCTAGTATTCAGATTATAATTATGAAAATACAATCATTTTTATTGTTTATTGTCATCTTTGGTATGATATTTGGTAAGTAATATATGTTAGCTGGCTTATATACTTATATAGATATATATATACTTTATTATTATATTTTTTTAAATATTAATTATTAATTATCATTACAACTACTATTAGCGGCAACAATGGTTCAGGGTGATGATACTGTATGTTCATCGGATCAAAAAACATGTGGACCCATATGCTGTAACACTAAACAGTTGTGTATCAATGTCCTATCAATAATCTCCCTGTGCTTGTTTTGAATGCACATACAAACAATGATTTATCAATAACTTGTTTAATGATAATTATGATATTTAAATAAAAAAAACTAAATATTAATTGAAAAAATCTAAAATTGTTATTTATTTAAGTATTTAAATGTTATTTATAAGAATTTACAAGAACTTAAAGGTAAATATTTTATTATTGTTAAGTTTAAAACACTATTCACACGATATAAATATAATTTTTAAAACTAGACGTCAAATGCCATTAATTTTGAAGTCATTTTCTCCTTAAAAAATGGTTGAATTTATATAAAAAATTAAATAAAAGTTATTATTATATATTAAACATAATAATTTTAATTTACTCTGCTATATTTTAAATTAGTAATTTATAATAAATCAAAATTAAATTAGTATTTAAAATATCCTTTATTATTGTTATTTTATTATTACAATTAATACCAATAAACCAATAACATTAAATATCTTATTTTTATTAGTCTTAAAAAATAAATTAGCAATAATATTAATAATAATTTTTTTAATTTATTGTTTAATATATTATGATAAGTGTAATTTATTTAAAGATAATATTTTTAAAATAATGATTTTACTAAAAAAAATATTTTACTTTATAAGTCTTAATGAATTATAGTTTTTAATAATAATAAGAAACTTTTAATATTAAAATATTTTAAATATTATTATATTTTATATAAAAATTAAATTAATATATTTTTTGATAACTAGCATAGATAACCTTTTATTTTCATAATAATTTTTATTTGAAAAATAAGTATAATTTTTATACAAACCCCTATTAAATCATTTCTGATTAAATTTCTGATTTTAAAAAATCAATTATCATTGAAAAACGACATGTATTTATTTAAAAATAAAAAATAATTAAATCACAAATTACTACATGTACTGTATTATAAATTATATATTAATAAAAATACCAATTGTTACTAACTATAAATCAATTTTAATTTATAAATTATTTATTATTTATAATCTAAACGTTTACATTAAAGTTACGTTTAACGCATCGACCAGTTTTGCATTTTTGATTAATACCACAACAATGACCATTGCATCGATGTTTTGCCGGACATCGTGTCGACACTAATGATCCTAAATAGTCAACATTTTATGATTTTTATTATCAATTATTATAAAAGTGTTTGAATATTTAATAATAAACCATTTTAATTAGAAAAATAGTATATTATAAAAAAATAAAAACCAAAAACACATAAAATTAGTATAAATAGTGTAATAGTGTAAATTCATTATTGAAAAATTATTAGGTTTTTTTTATAAATAATAATTTTCTTAACAAAAAATTGGTTTATATATTAATATTTATATAAATTGATTTATTAATTCATTGATTTATCTAATGTTATTGACATTAATCATATGATTTATTATAATAAATTATTAAACTCATAAGTAATTAAAAATAATTGACTAAACAATATTGTATAATAAATATTGAAATACTTATAAATTAAATTATGGAACTTTTTATAGCTATTTACAGTATTAATAGTTTAGTTATTAATATTTAATATTCATTAACATTTTTAACAAAACTTTAACATCAAAGATTGTTAATAAAATATTTCAATGTGTTTGTAATTATAAAATTAAAACTTTAATAATTAATAATTTGAATATTAAAAGTAAATATAATTAAAGTATTATAAACTGTGTGATATATTTATTATTATTTAGATAATGTAATAATATCTAAATAATAAGTAATTTAAAGATTAATTGTTAATTATTAACTACAATTGATAATATGATTATTACATTTTAGAATTTATTATTTCATTGACATTAACTATGATTATTATTTTTTTAGTAATTACTTAATAAACTAGTAAATTATTTTACAAAAAATCCAAATAATAAATAATTTTACAATTATTTTATAATTTTATTGAAGTTATAAGTTAAAGCAAATTTACTCAGATACTATTACATTATACCATTTCATATCATTTAATAAAGTTTAAAAAAATGTTTTGATGTAATTAATGATGAGTACATTTTTAAGAATTTAATAATTTGTATGTTTGGGTAATAATCTGTTAATTTCTATACAATTATAACTATTTTGTAATAATAATAATAATAATAATATTACTATAAAGATAACTAAATATTTAACTTTTTATAGTTTGTATTATAAGACTTGTGTTTGACCTTAACCTAGAGATAAAAGTGTTAATGATTTTTCACGAATTCCTGAAAGGAATACGTATATGCATTCTAAAAGTCTGTCCGTCTGTCCGTCTGTCTGTCCCACGAGGACATAGGTTCGAATCCAGGCTCAGCTACAAAATTTTTTTTGATTTTTTTTGGTTTTTTTCTTTTTTAAGTTAAGGAGATCGTATGAGAATGCTTTTGAAGCATTCTCAACTTGTTTTTTGATTTTTTAAAATTTTTTTTCCTTTTTAAGTTAAGGAATTCGTGTGGAAATGCTTTTAAAGCATTCTCAGCTGGTATTATTTATTATTAATAAAATAATTTTGTTATTCTGAATATTAATTAAAATATTTTTAATAATATTTGGTTATTATTAATAATTATAATTTATGTAAATATTTATTTTATAACAATTTATAGATATTTATAGATCAACTCTTTGTTAAAATTATTATATAAGTCATAGCACTGACCATACGATTGCAACAATTGTATCAAAATTTTTATAATTAAATATAATAAGTTTTTTTAATTTATTGATGTGCTTAAAAAGTAAATACAGTAAAACTTGTGCGTTGTGTTTTACATGTACTTTATATTTATACAAATTATAAGACAATTATTAAATATTTCTTATAGTTTATTAAAATTTAACTATTATTAACAAATAAATTTACATTTTTAAGTTAAAATAAAAAAACATTATTTGAAAACTTGATTATAATATATTTATTAAATAATAATTTTATATTTTTATAATTATTTAATTTAATTTTTATTTATATATCATTATAATAAAATTTTAATAGAATTTTTTATGTGATATTAAATTATAGATATATAAAAATTTATTAACAATAATAATTATAAAATAAACTAATAACTTAGTAAAACTAAAGTTATTATTAAAAAATAAATAAATTCACATTTTTAAGTAAAAATATAAAATAACTTTATTTGAAATCTTGATTATAATATATTTATTAAATAATAATAACTAATTATTAATAATAATAATAATAATAATACAATACTGTTCAGTCTCTATTGTATTGATTCAAATTGTTTGTTTGTCAGACTATTTGCCTAATCCCAGACAAACAGCGACTCCCAATAGTCCCACATTAATACATGCCTGTCCCGGCTCACAACATGAGGCACCGCACTGGCGTTGACCCTCAGCACAAATAGCTGGAACTCCCTGTAGAATTTGTTCTAGTTGCTCTACATAAATGTTAGCATAATAATAATAATTATTATTATCAATTTAAATTATTATATTATTTAATTTCATAATTATTTATTTATTTTTGTACCAGGTGAAATCTCTACATCAGCTGCCGGAGCCGAATCAACAAATGCTATAAAAATAATGTATAAATTAATTATAAAAATATATATTAATTATTATAGCAAAACAAAATATACTGTAGTATAATATTATAATTTAAAAATATTATTTAATAAATTCATAATTACCGTATACGGCCAAACATAAAACAGCTAATAATATTGTTGAGCGCATAATGTTAGATTCAATTGATTAATTTATTTTTTTTAAATTAATAAATTTTAATATTATCTAAAATATATCTATTCTATAGAAAAGTTTTCAGATTATATACTAATAGATTCATAATTGCTGTGTTAATAAAAATGATAAAAATGTAATATAAAATATGTTTATTTTAAAATATAATTCAATGACTCAATTTAAAATATATATTTTAAAAGAATGTTTACATATTTAAATGAAAAACAATATTTATCAAAAATGATTATCTAAAATTTTTTACTTGGTTATTTGATTAAATTTTTAAAAATAAAACATTATTTACTAAAATATATATTTAATAGTCATCTTAAATAAATATGTTATTAGTTGTACTAAGTTTTGTAAAATAGACTTAAAAATTAAATATGTTAACATTATTTAATATAATAAAATTGTTTGACTATTTAATTTTAGATAATTTTTTAATTAATAGATAGTTTTTAAAAAATTATTATTAATTATATAATTTGATTATTAAGTTTAATATATTGATAGAATATAATATAAAGACAAAAAATAGTTTTACTAATATAAAATTAAAACATTATATTTACATTGAAAAAACAATTAATTAATTAATTTAGCCAATATTAGTCAAATAATCATATTTATTAATTGAATTTATATTTACATTATTTAATGATATAATAATACTAAAAAGTCTGTAAAAATTGAAAGTAGAGTTAAGTAATTTTTTAAAAAGAAATACTACTTAATATTCTTTTGATTTGATTTAAAGATTTAAGTTTAATTTTTTTTAAATAATTAAACTTATAAAGATAAAAATTAAATTTTTTTATTTAGTTGTTATTATAATGAAATTCTTAATTATAATACTATTAAAATTATTTTATTTAAAATTAAAAATTACTTTTCTTTTGTTTTTTAAAATATTTTTCTTGATTACACAAAATTCTAATTAAAAGTTTATTTTATAAATAAATATTAATTTTTAGTATCCCTGTTTGAGTTCAATTTTATTTGCCAGTACCGAGACAAACGGCAACACCCAATAGGCCAACATTGATACACAACTGTCCCGGTTCACAACAGGCATTACCGCAAGCACGTTGACCTATTGGACATATTGCAGGAATACCCTGAAGTACTTCAGCTGATACTAATAATTAAATTTATTATCAATTCATAAAATTACTATATATTTTATTAATATTATATATATAATTACCAAAAGGTGGGCACCAACCGGGTCGGGGACAGTCCATAAGTACTTCTATTGAATTATATTTTATTTTATTAATTATTATAAAAAATACTGTATATTTTATTAATAATATGTATATAATAATCAAAATTTTAATTAGTATTGAAAAAACAAACAAAATTAGTAAATTATTTTTTTTTTGTTAAATAATTATGCAATAGAAACGAGTTATACAAACTGTATTTTAAATTTTACTAAAATCATTAAAAAATAGTCTAATTGATAATATCAAACTATTATTAGTATTAAATATTACTTTTAGTTAACTAACAAAATTATTATTAATAAAAATACTATACAAAGTAAAAGTATATGTCTAAATTAGTAAAGTTTATTTATATGCAAATAGATTATTTTTTGGTATATTTTTATGTAAACATTTTAAAATATTAATTAACCTGGGTCAGCATCTACTCCAATATTGGCTTCATTAACATTAGCATCCACTTCATCGTTTGCATCCAATACTACAAAATAAAAATAATTTAAAAATATGAGTTTAATTTATAATGATTCATATAAATACAAATACTGTTAATTAAATATATAATTTAAAAAGAAATAATTTTTAATAATTAATATATATATATACGAATATCACTATAATTTGTTAACTGTTAATACTACCATAAAGTGTTGAAATAAACAGAGTTAAAACTATAAAAAGTAGACGCATTTTTTATTGATACTACCTAGATAATCTACAATTAATTTAGTAATAGAATATACATGTATATTCATAGTATTACTAATCTTATATACCTAAAATTCTGTAATAATTAATTTTTTTAAATGATAATTTTCAACAATTAATGATAATTCAATAATATAATAATTTAAACTATTTTTCGGTGTCATAATACATGATATTTATGTTTTTGTTTATAACATCAATGGTCATTTAAACTATACTGTAAATTATATGCAAATATTGTTAAATGTTTTTTTGTATTGACTTAAAACTTAATAATGTTTGGCAATAATTAATTTTAAAGTTTTTTTTACTTAATTATATAGATATTTATGATTATGTACTATAAACTTGTATATCAATTTAAAAATTATTCTTATACTAGTTTTTAAACATTAAAGAAACAATTTGTAAAAAATTTTAAAAATAAAAAAAACCATTATCATTTTTATCAACTTTTTCATTTATAATTCAATTATGTCAATAATGTAGACATTGAGTTATTTATGTTGAAATAATATTTTTTACATTATCATAAAAATAAAAAATAATAAATTTTGATAAAATGATTGTCTAGAAATTACTATTTAAAAATTGTTAGGTTATAAAATATATAAACACATACAGTAAAGTTTAGTAAAGTAGTAATAATAATATCAATAATTTAAAGTAATTATTTAATTTTAAGTATCAACTTTTATGAAATTATGAAATATAAACTTTTTCTATTATATACTATATTTTGTAAGAATAATATAATTTTTTTAAACTTTTTAATTATTAAAAATATTTTTTTTATATTTATAATATAAATTTTTTAGACATTAGTTCACTATCAAGTTTACCTGTACAAGAAAATAATGGTATAAAATTTTTATAAATTTATTTATTAAATTAATATATATGTTTTATTATATAATTATTAGCAAGAACATTTGTAGAATGTCGATCGGATCAACTTTTTTGTTGGACAGCTTGCTGTGACCTGGATCAAACTTGTTATCATAATTTATTAATTAATATTTGTTATAATGCTACTACTACAATTATTATAGTTAAATGAAAAATATTATTTTAATTTAAAATACCAATATATTTTCAATAAATGATTTAAATTTAATGTATTAAAAATAATTTATTATTAGTATATTATTGTTTTACTAAATACTACTTATTTATGTAATATTAATGTATTAAATATTAATTTATTAAATATTAGTATTTATAAATTAAAAAATTAAAATAAATAATATTTTTTCCAACAAACAAATTGGTTATTCAATTAAAGTCAACGCTTAGACGTCTATCAATTGGGATGACGTGAACATTAGGTCTGTCCAATGTTCAGTCATCCGATGGCAAACCAGTTGGCCGGATAGGCAATCAATGTAGACAACGTTGACTTAAGATAATCTGATAACAAACAACCGATGACCAACCCATCAATGGTCAACCAACCGTACAATGCATGTATTTTATCAGGTATTTTAGACAAACATTAACGAAAATAATTTAGTTAACAATTTTTAGTTATATTGATATAAAGATATAAATTATACACAAACGTTATATTTACTTCTACTTTTAGTCGTCTATTTGTTAAAATATAATTTTATATTTTTATAATTATTTATATTTAAATTTCTTTTATTTTTATTTCCATATTATTATAATAAAATTTTAATAGAATTTTTTATGTGATATTAAATTATAGATATATAAATATTTATTAACAATAATAATTATAAAATAAACTAATAACTTAGTAAAACTAAAGTTATTATTTAAAAAATAAATAAATTCACATTTTTAAGTTAAAATAATAAAAGAACTTTATTTGAAATCTTATTATAATATATTTATTAAATAATAATAACTAATTATTATTAATAATAATAATAATAATACAATACTGTTCAGTCTCTATTGTATTGATTCAAATTGTTTGTTTGTCAGACTATTTGCCTAATCCCAGACAAACAGCGACTCCCAATAGTCCTACATTAATACATGCCTGTCCCGGCTCACAACATGAGGCACCGCACTGGCGTTGACCCTCAGCACAAATAGCTGGAACTCCCTGTAGAACTTGTTCTACTATTTGTGTCAGTTGTTCTATAGATAATAAATAATTAATTTTATAATAATAATAATAATAATAACAATAGTGTACCAGGTGAAATTTCGACATCAGGTGCCGGTGCCGATTCAACAAATGCTATATATATAAAAAACATAAATTGTTAAAAAAAATACTATTAGTATACTAAACAAACTAATTTTATTGTTATATAACTGTATAATAATTATTTATTGTAAAAAATAATTTTAAAAAAACATTTATTACTTACCGTATACGGCCAAACTTAGAACAGCCAATAATATTGTTGAGCGCATAATGTTATATTTAGTAAGTTAATTAATTTTCTTTTTAAAATTATTAAATTTTAATATTATTTAAAATATATCTATAAAGTGGTTAATTTTTGTGGTTTATATATTATTGGAATATAATTGCTGTGTTAATATAAAATGCTAAAAATTTACTAAAGTAGTTAAATATTATTTATTAAAAATACAATATTAATGCAATGATAAATTAGAATTTAATTTAACTAATTGTTTAGATTATTAAATGATAAATAATATTTTATTGAATTTTTTAATGCTTTCTAGAAAAAAAAATTTTTCTTTTGTAAAACTTTTTTAAAATAAAAATTATTTTGTTTGTAATAAATTTGTAGTTTAGATTATTTTTATAAATAAAATAATATAATATTTGATATTTTTTTGTTAAACTAATAATGATTATACTAGTGCTAATTTATAAAACTATATTAATTATTTTTTAGACTTACAAATAGATTTTAAAATATATTTATTTATTTAAGCATTTTATTCAAATTTAAATTAGTTTATATAATTGTAGTTAATTTATTGAGTATAAGGCATTAAATGTATGATCAGTGGTGTCTGAGGACTGACCTAAAATAGGTCAACAGATATTTGATAAATAATGAAAGTATAAGAAAGTGCTAAATAAACCAAAAATAATCAATTTTATACTAATTGTTAATAAAATTATTTGTTAAATATTTCAAATTATTTTAAACACAGCAAAAACTTTACATTATCTTTAATATATTGTAACAATTGAATAACAATCATAACTGATAGTTTATTTAATTATTGTCAATTACTTTCGTCAATATTAGAAATTTTTAAATATTTATTGTTTGAAATAAAATAAAATTTTAAATAAGTTTACACTCATTAAATTTGTTATTTTCTATTTGATTTCTTAATTAAAAATGATAACTAAATATTTTTTAATTTATAATTTTAATAAAACTTATTTTAATATTATAATTTATTTTATTAAAAAAATTATATAAAGTAGTTTTTATACTGTTATATTAATAAATAATGCATATCTGGTCTATAAGTGAAACATAATAATGGTATAATAATAAATCAAATTATTTATTAACATATAATTTATTTAATTTATTAATAGAAATAAAAATTATTTAAATTTTTAATATAATCATTCTTATTAAATAATATATTAAAATACTTTATTTAATTATAAAATGAAATATTAATAAAATAATGAAATAAAAAATATATCAATTATTTAGAAAACTTGATTATAACAAATTAAACTATATTTTTCATTATAATGTATTGATTGATAATTGCTTTTAGTGTCCACACTATTATTTTTTATCCCAAACAAATAGCGGCTCCAATCAGTCCGACATTAATACATGCCTGACCCGAGTCACAGCATGTGGTACCGCACTGGCTCTGTCCCTGTGAGCACAGGCCTGTAGAATTGCCTGCAAAAACACCCTGTTCAATTTCATCGAATAGTTCTAGAACAATTTACAACAACAAAAATAAATATAAAATTACTTTTTAATTTGCATATAATATTATTAGTATTATTTATAAAATAAAATATACCTGGTGAACTTTCAATGTCAACTGCAGGTGCCGAATAAACTAATTCTAAAATAGAAATTATTTTATTATTATTTTTTAATATTTATAATAATATTTAAAACAATTTAATAATATAATAAATTATTCAATAAAAGTTAAAAATAGTTTACCATATACGGCCAAACATAAAAAAGCCAATAATATTATTGAACGCATAATGTTAGATTAAATAAATAACTAAATAAATTACAACAAAATTATACAAAAAAATTATTTAAAATATATCTAATATATAGATAAGCTTTTGGCTTATATACTATAAGATAAATGCATAATTATTGTTTTAATATAAATGCTAACAAATAGTAATGATTCATTGAAAAATTTAAAATTTATTATAAGTAGGCTGTCCATTTAAAGTTATTTAACTATTTTTACATATTCTATTAAATATATGAGTATATCGTATAAAAAATAAAAAAAATTATACAAAATTTTATATCGTCTATAAATAGAGTTCATGCAAATTCCTTATCGCGTTCACTATATTCCCTGCTCTCATGCAATTCCCAGAGAATTTATTTTGTTATGCAATCATCTATTGAATCCTAAATAACAAAGTATATTATAAGGTTTAAAAATATGAAAAATTGATAATAAAAAATTTAACATAATTTAGTGCTAAAATCCATTAATTTAATATAATTTTAAGTGATAAAAATAAAAAAATTATAAATTATAAAATTAATAAAGCAATTATGTAAAAACTGAAGATAAATAAATCATAGTTCAGAAAAATATTGACTACAAAAACTATTTTGTGTTATTATGTAATAGATTTAAAATATTATTGATTATAATTATTGTTTAAAAATTTTAGTTAAAAATTGTGTCATAATTAAGTTATAATATATATTATTATTTTATTTATAACACAATAAATCTTTGATTTTTTAAAATTTTCAAAATAAATATACAGTATGTTTTTATAATGTTTATTTCTATTTATGATTATTATCACAATATACTGCATTTAATTTATACTTTATGTTGAAATGTTTACAATAAAAAAAATAGTTTAATTAT